ATTTCCGTAATTATATTCTAAAATAATCAAGTTTTTATTAATCCATTTTCTTTTACTGAGAATATTTTGTTGATGGGGTTTATTATCTAAAAATATCTACAAATAGGAAAAAAATGCAAGAAAGAAAATTAGGGAGCCAGAGTAAATTCCTATAAAATCTAAAACGGACTGTTAAATATGTCATAATTGAAGAGATGTATGAAAACAAAAAATAATAATTTATATAATTGTGTAATACAAATTTGGCAAAGTGCCCTTAATCTCAAAATAAACACGGCAAAATAGATACGGCAGAGAGTAATAACCTTTGCATTTCTTGCTTGTATAACGGGTGGCGTAAATAGAAGCTTATATTTCTTTCAAAAATTGAAGCAAATCGCAAACATATAAAACTTTATGATTTTTTAATTTATTTCTTCTATTACTTGTTATATTGTCATCACAAACAGTGTGGAAAATTGTTCCCGGTTTCAATTTCACTTTTAATTAAATTCAAATAACAAAAATCCATTATAATGGACTTATAACGAAACTTCCGATCTGTTTTTCGAACTAGGTTTTCTTAAAAGATCATTATTATACTAATGACATTCGGTGAGATAATAGAATTACGACAGTTATTTCTTAAGACTGCCAAAGTAATTCCTTCGAGCGAAAGCACTATACAATGTCGGAAACGATAAGTCCTTTCATCACGTCATATCCAACTCCATTATCACATTTACGCTCATTTAAACTACAAGAAATAATGTGATTCGTTCCTTGTCATACACAAAATTCTAATGTTTATTATATAAAACAGAAAAATATTTTGTAAAGAAAGATTACTTTATAATAGATTGTTTGTTTACAATAAATTGTTTGAACTCTAAATCTAAAGAAGTGGATAATGACATCAGTTCCAATTATGCCATTGCTAAGCAGTAAATTTACAGTGAAATTTAACTAAAAGATCAATGTAAAACGTGACATCCCTAACCTTGAATAAACTATTTTTTTTTTAATTATTTAGTATAAAAAGTGTAGTAAGTGAATAATATAATTTTATTATTTAAAAAAAATGACATGTCTCAAATAGATTTTATTTATTCAATTAACAAGAACCTTTTATGATACAAAATGCATACATTACATACTTCACATTTATATACAGTCATTTTAAAGATCGATTGTTTAAGAGAATTTTAGTTGGAATATGAAACATGCATTAAAATGTCGATGCGCGCGTTTATATAGCGATTTTTACGTTATTTGCGCGATGAAAATTGTACTGTGCTGCAAAATCTACATTCGACTATTGTGTAGAAATACATGTCACAAAATGTCCGTCTACGCTCGAAAATTTCCAAATTTACGTGAATATGAATGCGAGAGGAAACAGTCGTTTAGCTATCTGGAAGTCCAACGCGATATCGCACCATCGCGGACTAGGTATACGCACTATTGCATATTATTCAAAATACACGAAAGTAGCAATATCACGATATGTTGATATTTATATTATCATATATGTATACTATTGATCGTTAAATGTTATCATTCTCACGTGCTGTATCTTCTCGAAAGTCAAGTCGGAGTATATTCTCACAAAGAATAAAAAAAATTTTAACATTTTTATTTAAAATTGGAATTTAAATACTTGCATTTGTTTAATAAAATAAAATAAAATATAAAAAATAAAATAGAAAAGAGATAATTCCATTGTGTGAAAAGCATTGAATACTTGTATGAGATAAATAGCTAAATTTGTATGGATAGCAAACATGCAAAATAGATTGTCTGAAAACATTAATTAAATTTTTTTTTTAAGTTGGACTTAATTAATTTTATATTATTATATCACATTTAATAAAAATTTTTAAAAAATGGTTGATAAAAAATGTTTATTTAGAATATAATACACTGAATAAATTTATATGTCGTGTATTTCATACAAAATGTAGATATACAAATACAGCTGTTTATATAATAAACTGCTTAAATAAATGACATAAAAAGCCAGAACTTTTAAAATATTATGTAATTGAATCAAATGCAAATAAAAATGTAATATGATTCGATTCCTATAAGATTTTTAAAACTGAATTTTAACGCTGCTTTGAACACTAATGGCTCAAATATATGCAATGTGATAAGTCTTTTCTTTTTGTGACTTAACATGTTTTTTTAATTATTTTAATAAATTTCATTTATTTAAAAGAAGTATTCAAGCTAACGAAAGACTAAATGTTTTATTCGTGATGATGTGGTACATTCTTGATGACACTGATGAGGATGTGGGCGACCGATGCATCGTGATACCAGTTTGAGGGGAGACCAGATAATTGAAGAGTGTCAGCCTGATTTAACCTCCGGCGACTCGGTGCATTATTATAATTTATGACGCACGACCAGCTGTCACGAACTCGATGGAACAAAAATGTTACTTAATTGTTTTCTTAAATTGTTAAGTTCTTAAATAGTCATTGATCTTTTTGGACCACCCATATAAATAAACCAACATAAATAATTTAAAAATTATTTTATGCTATTATATCAAAAATAATTTTATATTTATGAAACAATTAAAAATTAAATCTTTCATATTGATAAGATTTATCTTATATTTATCATAAAATAGAAAAATTTATGAAGTACTATTTCTAAATAATTGCGATAGCAATTTATATATTTACACATTCTGGCTTTAAATTAATTTTATTATCCTAACAAAAGCTAATTAAACATTTGTTATTAAATAATTTGCAATTATTTTATAAATTATTTAATAGATAATAGAAAATTAACTCATTGCATAATATAACATATATATAGTTTTCATTAGTTATCGTACGAGAAAGCAAATTAGGTTGTCGTTCACAACGCGCAGCGGTCTGTTATTTTATGATTCGCACATTGGGCACGTGCCAAGATTTTTGGCACATCACGATGTGAATCGAGAAAGCGATTTCAGGGAGCTTCGCCACACGTGCAAACACGTGATAGTTTTAGAAATGATATTTTGAAAGTAAATTCTACATGATACCCAACTTTTTCGACAAAAGAATGATTGACATTTTTTCTATTATTTAAATATTATTTAAATTAAAAGACTACATATGTAGTAAATTCACACAGAATTATACATGCACTTAAAATCCAATTACTGTTTAAGGTTTGGTTCTATAGGTGTTTCTTACATATATGATCCTATAAGATTTAATATTGATTATTTAAATTATGTTATTCTATAACATTTGATTTGATATAAATAGATAAATTCACATCATCTACTTTTAAACAGAAAAACAAAGTATGTTTATATAATATTGTAATGAAATTATAAATTCTTAAATAAGTAAAAAATTAAATTATGCTATGGAAATAAAAATTATCGTACATAATAATTATCAAATTATTAAAACAACAGATTATGTATTAAATTACATGTGTTTTATTTAAGTCATATTATTATTTAACATGAAAATAAAAAAATGAGGAAATGAAAGAACAAACACATTGTTTTATGGCATAATAAGCTACAAAACTTACTACTACTGTATTGATTAATGTGTATTAATTTCAAATAAACTTAACACAAAAAAATACTTTAAGTTATATTTCTATTTATTATTAATTATTAAATAGTAGCTGTCAAATGTTTTTCTCAATTATAAAAAAATAGTTAAAAATAACTAGTTCTGATTTCATAATTTCTGTTAATATTTATTAATAAATTTCTAAAATAATTTTTGTTAAAGTAACAAAATAGAAATTTTAGAAATAATTTACGTTGTGACTCAGATATCTGACACTCTTCGCAGCAAATTATCTGTACAATAAGATAGCTAATACTTAAACATCCTTGAAATTTTAACAATACTTAGGAGAAATAAAGAAGAAGGCGGTATTATGACATATAATAAATTATAATAGCCTCTCTTAATATTTTTACTGTTAAATGACAAATTTTAATAATTACTTATGGAATTATATTCAATAATTTGTCACTTAAACTTTATCGTATTATTACACAAATGTATGTATATTTTAATGTCTTGTTCGTTATATTATTAATATTTTATTTAGCTATATATTTTGAGTTATGCAAAGATAAAAAAATTAAACAACACTATAGCAT